TTTTTTTTGAGACGGGGTCTTGCTCTGTCACCCAGGCTTGAGTGCAGTGGCTGGATCTCAGCTCACTGCAAGCTCTGCCTCCCGGGTTTACGTCATTCTTCTGCCTCAGCCTCCCGTGTAGCTGGGACTACAGACGCCTACCACCTCGCCTGGCTAGTTTTTTGTATTTTTTAGTAGAGACGGGGTTTCACCATGTTAGCCAGGATGGTCTCGATATTCTGACCTCGTGATCTGCCCGTCTCGGCCTCCCAAAGTGGTGGGATTACAGGCTTGAGCCACTGCGCCCAGCCTTTGAAGAGACTATTCTTACCCTCATAGAATGGTCATGGCACCCTTGTCAAAAGTCAGTTGTGCCAGGTGTGGCACATGCCTGTATTCTGACTCATAATTGTAATCCTAGCACTTTGGGAGCTCAAGGTGGGAGGAGTGCTTGAGCTGAGGAGTTTGAGACCAGCCTGGGTAACATAGAGAGACCCTATCTCTAGAAAAAGATAAAAAAGGCTGGGTGCAGTGGCTTACGCCTGTAATCCTAACACTTTGGGAAGCTGAGGCAGGTGGATCACCTGAGGTCAAGAGTTTGGGACCAGCCTGGCCAACATGGTGAAACCCCATCTCTACTAAAAATACAAAAATTGGCCAGGTGTGGTGGCAGAGGCCTGTAATCCCAGCTACTAAGGTGACTGAGGCAGGAGAATCGCTTGAACCAGGGGGGGCGGAGGTTGCAGTGAGCAAAGATCGAGCCACTTCACTCCAGCCTGGGCAAAAAAGGAAAACTCCGTCTCTAAATAAATAAATAAATAGAAAAAAGAAAAAGATTAAAAATAATCAGTCAGGCATGGTGGCATGCGCTTATGGTCCTAGCTACTGAAGAAGCTAAGGTGGGAGGACTGCTTGAGCCTGGGAAGTAGAGGCTGCAGTGAGCTGTTACTGTGCCACTACACTTTAGCCTGAGTGGAGAGAGAGAAGGAAACCAAAAATCAATTGGCCATAGGTGTATAGGTTTACTTCTGGACTCTTAATTCTATTCCATTGGTCTACATGTCTGTCCTTATGTCAAAACCATTCTGTTTTGGACAGGCGCAGTGGCTCGTGCCTGTAATCCTAGCACTTTGGGAGGCTGAGGCAGTGGTTCAAGACCAGCCTGGCTAACATGGTGAAACCCTGTCTCTATTAAAAATACAAAAATTAGCCAGGCATGGTGGCACACACTTACAATCCCAGCAACTCGGGAAGCTGAGGCACAAGAATTGCTTGAACCCAGAAGGCAGAGGTTGCAGTGAGCAGAGATCATGCCACTGCACTCCAGCCTGGGTGACGAGACTCCATCTCAAAATGAAAAAAAAAAATTATGTTTTGATCCCTGTAGCTTTGTAGTAAAATATAAGTCTTCCAATTTTGTTCTTCTTTTAAAATATTGTTTTGGGCCGGGTGCGGTGGCTCATGCCTGTAATCCCAGCACTTTGGGAGGCTGAGGCGGGTAGATCACAAGGTCAGGAGATCGAGACCACAGTGAAACCCCGTCTCTACTAAAAATACAAAAAATTAGCCGGGCGCGGTGGTGGGCGCCTGTAGTCCCAGCTACTCGGGAGGCTGAGGCAGGAGAATGGCGTGAACCCGGGAGGCGGAGCTTGCAGTGAGCTGAGATCGCGCCACTGCACTCCAGCCTGGGCGGCAGAGCGAGACTCCATCTCAAAAAAAAAAAAAAAAATTGTTTTGGTTTTTGAGGACCCTCGCAATTCCATATGAATTTTAGGATTGACTTGTGTATTGCTGGAAAAAATAAAGGGCCTCTGGAATTTTTTTTTTTTTTTTTTTTTTTGAGATGGAGTCTTGCTCTGTCACCAGGCTGGAGCGCAGTGGTATGATTGCTGCTCACTGCAACCTCCGCCTGCCAGGTTCAAGTGATTCTCCTGCCTCAGCCTCCCAAGTAGCTGGGACAACTGGCATGCGCCACCATGCCCAGCTACTTTTGTATTTTTAGTAGAGACAGGGTTTCACCTTGTTGGCCAGGATGGTCTTGATCTGTTGACCGTGATCCGCCCGCTTTGGCCTCCCAAAGTGCTGGGATTACAGGTGTCAGCCACCATGCCCGGCCTCGAATTTTATTAGAGATTGCATTGAATCTGTATCAATTTGGGGAATATTGCCATCTTAAGAATATTAAGCCTTCCACTCCATGAGAATGGCATGGTTTTCGATAAAGTTTACCTTTCAGCGTTATTTCATAGTTTTCACTGTAAAAGTCTTCTACTTCTTTGGTTAAATTTATTCCTAGGTATCTTATTTTGGATGCTATTCTAAGTGGAATTGTTTTCTTAATTTCCTGTTCAGAATGTTCATTGCTATAGAGACACAACTGATTTTTGAAAATTGGCTGAATTCATTTATTACCCTAGTAGCTTTTTTGTGTAGATTCTTCAGGATTTCTCTATATAAGATCATATCATCTTTGAATAGAGACAGTTTTAATTCTTCCTCTCCAATTGGATGCATTTTATTTTTTATTTCCTAATTTCTGTGGCTAGAACTTCCAGTACACTGTTGAAGTGGTGAAAATAGGCATCCTTGGCCGGGCGCGGTGGCTCAAGCCTGTAATCCCAGCACTTTGGGAGGCCGAGACGGGTGGATCACGAGGTCAGGAGATCGAGACCATCCTGGCTAACCTGGTGAAACCCCATCTCTACTAAAAAATACAAAAAACTAGCCGGGCGCGGTGGCGAGCGCCTGTAGTCCCAGCTACTTGGGAGGCTGAGGCAGGAGAATGGCATAAACCCGGGAGGCGGAGCTTGCAGCGAGCTGAGATCGGGCCACTGCACTCCAGCCTGGGTGACAGAGCGAGACTCTGCCTCAAAAAAAAAAAAAAAAAAGAAAAAAAGAAAATAGGCATCCTTATAACTGATCATAGGGGGAAGACTTTCAGTGTTTCAGCATTGAATATAATGCTAACTGTGGGGTTTTCATAAATGCTCCTTTATCAGGTTGACGAAGTTCCTTTATGTCCTGGTTTGTTTTTATCATGAGTTAATTTTTGTGTATGATGTGATATAGGTCTCCATGTTCTTTTTTTTTTTTTTTTTTTTTTTTTGAGACAGGGTCTCATTCTGTTGCCCAGGCTGGAGTGCAGATCATGGCTCACTGTAGCCTCGACCTCCTGGCTTCAACTGATTTTCCCGCCTCAACCTCCAGAGTAGCTGGGATGACAGGCTTAGGCCACCATGCCTGGCTTTTTTTTTTTTTTTTTTTTTTTGAGATGGAATGTCACTCTTGTTGCCCAGGCGAGAGTGCAATGGGAGGCAATCTCAGCTCACTGCAACCTCTGCCTCTGGGTTCAAGCGATTTTCCTGCCTCAGCCTCCTGAGTAGCTGGGATTACAGGTACTCGCCACCATGCCCAGCTACATTTTTATTTTTAGTAGAGATGGGAGTTTCACCATATTGGCTAGGCTGGTCTCAAACTCCTGGACTCAAGCAATCCTTCTGCCTCAGCCTAACATAGTGTTGGGATCACAGGTGTGAGCCACTGCACCTGGTCATGTTCATTCTTTTGAATGTGAATATCCAGTTATTCCAGCATCAGTTGTTGAAAAGACTGTTCATTCCTCATTGAATTGTCTTGGCCCCGCTATTGAAAATCAACTGATCATAAATGTTAGGTTGTATAGTATATACACCCCAAGACTTGGCACTTTTCCTTTGTATTTGTTTCCCCTCTGGTCCTGATTTATTGTGCTTCTGACCTCATTGGTATTTGTCTTTTATTTCTAGTCTTCTGCTTATTTCTTGTACTTGATACGAGTTTTTTTCTTTGAGATGGAGTCTCGCTTTTGTAGCCCAGGCTGGAGTGCAATGGTACAATCTCAGCTCACTGCAACCTCCGTCTCCTGGTTTCAAGCGATTCTCCTGCCTCAGCCTCCTGAGTAGCTGGGATTACAGGCATGCACCACCACTCTTAGGAGCTGCACAGGCATGCAGGGAGTCGCTATAGTGTGGATGATTATCTTCTGTTTCCTCTTCATTAAATTAAATGAGATGGATGAAATGAAAAGGACACGGTCAATGGAGATCACAATGGAGGCATGTTAGACATAGATTACACAATGTGGCATGTGTGTTGAACAGGACATGTGTTTAAAAAGATACAATAGGGCCAGGAGTGGTGGCTCATGCCTGTAATCCCAGCATTTTGGGAAGCCAAGGTGGGTAGATCATCTGAGGTCAGGAGTTTGAGACCAGCCTGGCCAACATGGTGAAACCCTATCTCTACTAAAAACACAAAAAATTAGCCAGGTGTAGTGGTGGGCACCTGTACTCCCAGCTACTCAGGAGGCTGAAGCAGGATAATCACTTGAACCTGGGAGATGGAGGTTGCAGTGAGCCAAGATCGTGCCATTGCACTCCAGCCTGGACAACAAGAATGAAACTCCGTCCCAAAATAAAAAATAAAAAAATAAAATAAAATAAAATAAAATAAAATAGACAGAATAGGAGTCGTACTTGCAGGTGGAAAAGGGAGGCCAAGAAAATCTTAACGTGCATAAAGCACAGATCATGTTTCCTCCATGATGACAAATGTAGCTGCCAAATTGGCCACCCACTGGTGCCTGCACTCCTTGTTCCAGTAAAATGTTTCCATCCTTCCTGCAAACAATTCAATATTGTTACAATCAAATTCATAACTACTGTTTTTACTTACTCTAGAACGTAAGCATTTTACTGAATGCCACATTTCTAAATGTAACTCCTTCAACCTCTTCTGAAATGTTAGTTTATGTGCTGGCAGCAAAACAAGCAAAACAACAAAAGTGGCCATGCTTTTTTTTTGCTTTGTTTTGTTTTGTTTTTGTTTTTGTTTTTGAGACGGAGTTTCACTCTTGTTGTCCAGGCTGGAGTGCAATGGCCCAGTCTCAGCGCACCGCAACCTCCGCCTCCCAGGTTCATTCAATTCTCCTGCCTCAGTCTCCTGAGTAGCTGGGATTACAGGCATGAGCCACGACGCCCAGCTAATTTTGTATTTTTAGTAGAGACGGAGTTTCTCCATCTTGGTAAGGCTGTTGGTAAGACCAGTTGGTAAGGCTGGTCTCGAACTCCCAGCCTCAGGTAATCCACCTGCCTCAGCCTCCTAAAGTGCTGGGATTACAGGTGTGAGCCACCACGTCCAGCCACAGCCATGCTCTTAACATGAACAGGCTTCGGGGCTTTCTCACCAGGACTTCCCCCATCAGCAAATGGAAATTCCCAGAGTTCTTGGCATGGATTCAGAGGGTAAAGAAAGGATGTGCACCAGCCTTCTTTGTCATCTTGAAAAAATATATTCTTCCCCAGTATAAAATTCTTCTGAAAGTAACTGAAGCGCAATTTATAATTAACCTATGAAGAACAAAGAGAAAACAAATTCGGTTATGAAATCCTGAAACTCAGCAAAGGCACAGGACAGCAAATCTGAGTTTGATGTCAGCTGTAACAAGAGGAAGGGTGCCCACACTGGCAGGTGTCCCCTGGGGGAGCATGCTCCAACAGTGGTCTTCCCTGTGGACTCTAGAAATTCTCCCAGCTGCAAGCCTGGGAAACACACAGCTGCTACTGAGCCCCCTTCAGGAATGGTGTGCTGCAGAACAGTTCAGAGCAAGAGCTCTGGAGCCAGACCACCCAGATTCTAACCCCAAATCTCCTATTGAATAGCCTCGTCACCTTGGACAAGTTATGTAAACTTCATTCCTGAGTTTCCTCATGAGTAAAATGGGGATATTAACAACATCTACCTCATAGGCTACAGTAGGATTGAGCCAGATAGTATCTGTGTTGCCTAGCATTGATAAATGCTTAAAAAACATTGTTGGTTATTTTATTAACTTGTCTCTTTCCATCTACCAATAGCCCACGCAACTTCCAACAATTAATCATCAGATACACTGTACAACACAAAAGCTATACATGAGTGGTTCTCCCATCCCAGAACATAAATCAAATATTCCCATGTTTACAACATGAACTTTTCCTTAAACAAACTCACACTCATACCACATCTGAAGTCCATAAGATTATTAGTAATGACAATAACTAATTCTTCTGGAAAGTTCTTTTGTTCCAGGCTTTGTTCTAAACACTTTATAGGCATAAAACTCTTTTAGCCCTCACAACAATAAGGACACTGAGGCCCAGAAATGTTTTTCCAAGTGAGTTGCAAGGCTGGGACTCAAGTCTGTGGAGCCTGGTGTTGTAGTCTGCGTCTGTCATCAGGCAGTTTAATATATGCCATCTTGTATTCTCAGGATAAAGACTTGTTCAGAACAAGTCTTCTAAAGAATTTGAAAACTGGAAGGGACCTCACAGTCTAGGTTGTAAGACATGAAACACAGGAGCCCTTGCTTATGTCCTCTGGAAATAAGATGACAAAGCTGCCACAGAGGAAAGCAGGGGTCAGGTCAGCCAACAAGACTACAGAAGGAACACATGCTCAAGTCTCGGTAGCACAGTACAATTGTTAGAGAAAGGATGCTCTTACCGCAAGTGGCAAAGATCCATTGCTGTTATTGATGCTATGGTCAAAAACAATTCCAATATATAGAAAGCTTTGGGATCATCAATTATATAATGTTCAAACAAAGGCACTGAAGAATAGCCTAAAACTACAGAGAGAAAAATCCCATCAGTGAATGGCTGGTGTGAAGTCAAAGGCTGCGCAGTTGCCCGCTCTCTACCTAAGGAGACTTAAGATTGACAGCTGACTGCTGCATTCACTCAAGCATTCGTTCTGCAAATACACAAGACAGAAAATAAGGGAGGTAAGTTAAGGGAAATGACTCTCGTTATTTCAAGTCATAACTTTAACTGGGAAGTTTATAGTCCCAAGAACTGCTGGCAACTATCTTGGGGCATCAAGAAAGTAATGCTAAGAAGGAAGAGAGAATGTAAGGGCTGATCATATGATTTGAGACCTGGATCAAGCCTTGTGGTTTTTCATTAAAGAATGAGTTTTGTTCTTGTAGGAAGTTTAAGTTCAGTTTCATCCTTTCAAGGCTTGTTTCTTTTTTTTTTTTTTTTTTTTGAGACGGAGTCTCGCTCTGTCGCCCAGGTTGGAGTGCAGTGGCCGGATCTCAGCTCACTGCAAGCTCCGCCTCCCGGGTTTACACCATTCTCCTGCCTCAGCCTCCCGAGTAGCTGGGACTACAGGCGCCCGCCACCTCGCCCGGCTATTTTTTTGTATTTTTTAGTAGAGACGGGGTTTCACTGTGTTGGCCAGGATGGTCTCGATCTCCTGACCTTCAAGGCTTGTTTCTAGCCTGCATTTTACATGTTGATGATTTTATTTTTCATTTCTAGAAGTTCTAGTTCCTTTTTTCCCCCCAAATCTGCTAGGTGACTCTTTTTTTTTTTTTTTTTTTTTTTTTGAGACGGAGTCTCGCTCCGTCCCCCTGGCTGGAGTGCAGTGGCGTGATCTCGGCTCACTGCAAGCTCCGCCTCCTAGGGTCTTGCCATTCTCCTGCCTCAGCCTCCTGAGTAGCTGGGACTACAGGTGCCCGCCACCGCGCCCGGCTAATTTTTTGTATTTTTAGTAGAGACGGGGTTTCACCGTGTTAGCCAGGATAGTCTCGATCTCCTGACCTTGTGATCCGCCCGCCTCGGCCTCCCAAAGTGCTGGGATTACAGGCGTGAGCCACTGCGCCCGGCCTAGGTGACTCTTTATAATGACATGCTACCTATAAATCCTTTTATGTTGTCTTTTATTTCTTCAAACTAGCTAAACATAGTGATTTTATAACACGAGACTAATAATTCTATTATCTGGAATCTTTCCAGGTCTGTTTTTGCTGTCTGTTGTTATACTGATAATCATTCTTGGTGTCCTGTTTCCTAGTATGTTTGTTCACTGACCTTGATAGTCTTGTGGTGAGTCTTGATATACAGAATGAAGGTACATTCCTCCAGGGAAAAAATGTATTTGCACCTGTCAATGTGAGTCCCACTGTCCCACTTCACAGTTTGAGGGATTTTTTTCTTTCTTTGCTTTTTTCCTTTCTTGCCTTCCCTCTGCCCTTCCTTCCTTCCTTCCTCCTTCCCTCCCTCCCCTTCTTCCTTCTTTCTTCCTTCATTCTTTCTTCCCTTCCCTTCCCCTTCCCCTCCTTCCCCCACCCTTCCCCCCTCCCTTGCCTTCCCTTCTTCCTTCCTTTCTTCTTCCCTCCCTCCCTTCCCTCCTTCTTCCTTCCTTCCTTCCTACCTACCTTTCTTTTTTCTGGCAACCAAGTGACGTGAATTTGAGCTACAAATCTCAGGGCTAGGACCCTCCCTGCTGTGCTTAGTTCCAAGGCAACATTCAGGCAGTCGGGGGCATGTTTACATCCAGCACGACCTTACATTAAGTACCACCAGTACGATGTAGGCATTTGGGTTCCCAGATTTCAGGCGAGACAGTCTCAAGATATACACCCCACCTTGAATGGGCCTTAACTTTTTCTTCTTTCCCTCTGTGCCTTACAAGTCTATGAAAACAAGCATTGAATTTCCCCTAGTATGATGAATGTTTGATCAAAAGCAGTTTAGGGCCTCCACTGATCTCTTTGGGTTCTTTCCTTCATCTAGACTTTTTTTTTCTTTTTCTTTTTCTTTTTTTTTTTGAGACGGAGTCTCCCTCTGTCGCCCAGGCTGGAGTGCAGTGGCCGGATCTCAGCTCACTGCAAGCTCTGCCTCCCGGGTTTACACCATTCTCCTGCCTCAGCCTCCCGAGTAGCTGGGACTACAGGCGCCTGCCACCTTGCCCGGCTAGTATTTTGTATTTTTTAGTAGAGACGGGGTTTCACCGTTAGCCAGGATGGTCTCGATCTCCTGACCTCATGATCCGCCCGTCTCGGTCTCCCAAAGTGCTGAGATTACAGGCTTGAGCCACGGTGCCCGGCCTCTTTTTTTTTTTTGAAATGGAGTCTTGTTCTGCCTGATCTCGGCTAACTGTAACCTCTGCTTCCGGAGTTAAAGCGATTCTCATGGCTCAGCCTCTCAAGTAGCTGGGATTACAAGTGGGCACCACCACGCCTGGCTAATTTTTTGTATTTTTAGTACAGACAGGGTTTTGCCATGTTGCCCAGGCTGGTCTTGAGCTCCTGAGCTCAGGCAATCCGCTTGCCTCAGCTTCCGAAAGTGCTAGGATTACGGGTGCCACTGCACTCCAGCCTGGGCAACAGAGCGAGATTCTTTCTCAAAAAAAAAAAAAAAAAGAAAGAAAGAAAGAAAGAAAGAAAGAAAGAAAGAAATTTCATAATCTCATATGTATAAGGTAACTGAATTAGAATGCATAGAATACATAGAAACTCATACTCATACCATATCTGAAGTCCATAAGATTATCAATAATGACAGCAATAACTAGGATACCAGACAACCATGAAGCACAATTTTTTTTTTGAGATGGAGTCTTGCCCTGTTGCCCAGGCTGAAGTGCAATGGCATGATCTCAGCTCACTGCAACCTCCGCATCCTGGGTTCAAGCCACTCGCCTGCCTCAGCCTCCCAGGTAGCTGGGACTACAGGCATGTGCCACCACGTCTGGCTAATTTTTTTGTATTTTTAGTAGAGATGGGATTTCACCATGTTGGCCAGGCTGGTCACAAACTCTTGATCTCAAGTGATCCACCCACCTCGGCCTCCCAAAGTGCTGGGATTACAGACATGAGCTACTGCTCTCGGCTGAAGAACAACTTTCAAAACAGTGATTCCCCACATTTTACCATTGAGGGCCTTTATTTTTTTTTTTTTGTTTTTTTAGAGACAGGGTCTCATTCTGTTGCCCAAGCTGGAGTACAGTGGTACAATCATACCTCACTGTAACCTCTAACTTGCATGTAGGTTCAAGAGATCCTCCCACCTCAGCATACCAAGTAGCTGGGACTACAGGCATCGACTACCACACCTGGTTAACTTTTTATTTTTTGTAGAGACAGGGTTTCACTATGTTGCCCAGGCTGGTCTCAAACTCCTGGAACTGAAAGCCTTTAAAAGAATTATCCCCACTGAGGCTGGGCATGGTGGCTCATGCCTGTAATCCCAGAACTGTGGGAGGCCAAGGCGGGCAGATGACCTGAAGTCAGGAGTTTGAGACCAGCCTGGACAATATGCTGAAACCCCATCTCTACCAAAAATACAAAAATTAGCCGGGCGTGGCGTGGGGGCGGTGGCTCACGCCTGTAATCCAAGCACTTTGGGAGGCTGAGGCGGGCAGATCACGAGCTCAGGAGATCGAGACCATCCTGGCTAACACGGTGAAACCCTGTCTCTACTAAAAATACAAAAAATTTAGCTGAGTGTTGTGGAGGGTGCCTGTAGTCCCACCTACTCGGGAGGCTGAGGCAAGAGAATGGGCATAAACCCGGGAGGCGGAGCTTGCAGTGAGCTGAGATCGTACCACTGCACTCCAGCCTGGGCGACAGAGTAAGACTCCGTCTCAAAAAAAAAAAAAAAAAAAAAATTACCCAGGCATGGCAGCGGGTACCTATAATCCCAGCTATTCAGGAGGCTGAGGCAGGAGAATTGCCTGAACCCGGGAGATGGAGGTTGCAGTGAACCGAGATCTTACCATTGCACTCCAGCCTGGGCAACAAGAGCAAAACTCCATCTCAAAAAAAAAAAAAAAAGAACTATCGCCACTGAGTGGCACTAAAGGTACTAAAGTTTGAAGAGAAAAATCTCTATTACTTTATGTTCTATATATTATTAGAATACTTTTACAATAGCATGTAGAGAAATTACAGTAATTTTGAAAAATTTCTCCTATAAACTGCATATTTTGAAGAATTTTATCTACCTAACTGCATTAATTTATTCAATAAATATTTATTGAGCGCCTACTATGGCTAGGTACTACAACAGGCACAGTGGTGAACAAAACAGACATGGTCTTATGACCTCATGGAGGTGGAGTCTAGTGGAGAAAGGCAGACAATACACAGAAAGTAAGAAGGTGAATATGTATGTAAACATTTATTAAAATTCCCTTTTTGATAGAAAGTATAAAACAGGGTTCAATGACAGAGAATAAGGCAGAGGTGAGAAACCTAAAACCGATTTAGCTGACTTCCTAGGTGTCAGTTCAGCTGAAACCTGAAGACTAAGAAGGAGCATGCACAGGGAGGACTTGGGGCAAAGCATTGTCAGAAGGAACAGCTGGTGCAAAGGCCCTGTCGGGAGAGAACCTCATGTAGCTGCTTTCTAGGAAGTAAAAGACCAACATGACCAGCCTGTGGGAGCACAATAAAGAACCAAACTGGATTAAGACTGGGAAAAAAGCAGGGTCAGAACCTGGAGAAGAGTTGGTTTTCTCTCAGGGCAATGGGAAGTTACTTAAGAGGTTTAAGCTGGAGACTAGCCGGATCCTATTGAGCTTCTGAAGATCTTTCTGCCTCCACATGGAGACTGGATTAGAATGGGACAAGAGGAGAAGCAGAGACCAGTTAAAAAGTTAGAAGTGATTTCAGACCCTCTGACCCTCTGAATGCCTTCCATTTTTTATGAGACATATAATTGCCAATCAGACCTTTGGATTAATATGAGATAACAGGTGTCATGATAGTGAGTTAAAAACAAATACTTAGCATTTAACATTTTAATTAGCCTTGAAGCCTTCTGACATATAGACACAACT